TTTAAAATTCCCTGGAAATCAATTTGACTTTATAGAAAGAATTTTCGGGCGCTTGGTATACGCCACACCCCTTTTTTGAATTTCGAGGTTATGGCGAAAATTTTAGAGAGCATACCAAAAAATTTTTTGAAGCGCATGGCTAACTTCCGCACTTTTACTAGGAAAAATTTATTTGTCACCCCCCCCCCACCCTCCCGAATGGAAATCCTGGATACGGCACAGGAACCTAAAGGGCAACGACTCAGTACAACTTTGCGGTGATCCCGGAATGTTAGGCGTACATTCTTCAAAAAGCGTTGTTTTGGTTTTTTTCACATTTTTCGAGCTCTCCAGTCGCCTAGCAATGGATGGACAAGAATTTCGGCAGACTGCGAAGGCCTCCTAATTACTCCGCTCAAATATGTATTAGTTTGCAATTGCAGAAATTATCCATTGGTGGACCAAGAAATTTGAGAACTCTAGGACATTGTTATCCCTCTCATTTGAGGTGCAAAACACTCACGGTGAGCTGAAACAGGTTCAAACACGTCAGCTTTCGCAAATTCTAGTCTATGGCTTCGGACATATTTTACGCGATTCCAGTCAAAGGCGATTTGGCAGAGCTCCAACTGTTCAGAAGCTATCGTAAGCGCACTCTTAACACATTCACGACAAGACCGATTTTTCAATCACTGCCGTTTCAGACCAGAGTTTTTGGAAAAAAGTCCAAAATATGTCTCCGAGGAATGCCCAGAGGAGATATCGAAGGCGCTGGATATCAATATGGATTATTTCAGTTTTTGGCATTATATTGTAGGTTTACGGTAGTCAATCTGTAGAAAGCTAACATATGGATATTCATGAAAAAATTATGTTTTGGGGTCATCTCAAGTGCTGTTCACAATTACAGTGTCCACTTTGTTCACTACTGTCCACAGTGAGGCTACGGTAGCAGTCGGTGGATTTTTCTTAAGAATCAAAAACCTGATGTAAGAAGGCGGTACTAGGACTTCAGACACCATTTTCGTAATCAGCATGCTAGAAAACTTGCGTAAAATTTCAGCTCCCTGGGATGAACAAAGCAAAAAGTCAATAAAATCAATAAGATCGATATTTTTGATGGGCTAATATCAGTCTCTTGCCCGCCCCGTATTTCTCGTGCATGTACACTTAAGTTCAGAAAGAGCATCATTCTGCGAAGAATTTGAGCTAAATTTTTGCCTTATCTTTATCTACGGTATACCTACCGTAACATTACATCACAGTATCCCGTGCCCGGACCACTCTGACTGGTGCTTCGCCTAGGTGTCCCCAATTATGTGCCAGAATCCCGTAAAATTCCATCGTGAATTGGCAAAGCTAGAGCTTCGCGAATTTTACAACCCACCGGTGGGTCGTATTGTCGTGAATGTGTTAATATTAGGTCATTCCGAAAGTAATTTCGCTTTTTTCAAACGGGCGTCACACTTGATGGAACAAAGATTTCTGAGAGGTCTTGCAGGCATTCGATGCAGAATTTCATTCTCTTTCTAAAGGCTATGAAATTGTTGCAACATAATCAATGAGCTTTCAGAAAATAACCAAAACCTGCGACCTATGCTATTTGAGATGGTCAAGTTTCACGATTTTTTAAAACTTTCATATCGATCCTCAGAAGGAGTTCAAGTAACGATTAGATAGAGTAACCCTTATAGAATACAGTACTACTTTTTTCTCCTTTCCATAGCTTGTCATACATTTTTAACACAACTGATGCTACCGATTTCCAAACTTGGGCAGCTAAATCCTCGTAGAACGTCAAAAGAAGAGCAGCTAGGGCACTATTCAATGCAGCATTTTCTCCTCTTTCTAACGGTGTTTTTTGTTTCCGATTCGTTTAGTTATCGATTATAATATCATCATAACTCATTTTTTTAGCGAGCTCCAGGCTGTACCCGAAAAACTTGAAATTCCATATTGCGAACCCGTAAACCCTCGCTTGCTTTGTAAAATTAATGCTAACTCATAGTACCATCTTGGTAATCTCAAATTCCAAAAAATTTGTGATGTTTGATGCGATTGTGGCTGATGTGGGCCTGCCAAAATCCGATGGTTCTGTTAAAAAACCTTTTAAAAAAATTATGGCGAGCTATGAAAAAGAGAAAAAAGTGGACTGTATTCTATGAGGTTTGCTCTATCGAATCGTTACTTGAGCTCCTTCTGAGGATTGATACGAATGTTTTAAAAAATCGTGAAACTTGACCATCTCAAAAAGCATAGGTCGCAGGTTTTGGTTATTTTCTGAAAGCTCATTGATTATGTTGCAACAATTTCATAGCCTTTAGAAAGAGAATGAAATTCTGCATCGAATGCCTGCAGGACCTCTCAGAAATCTTTGTTCCATCAAGTGTGACGCCCGTTTGAAAAAAGCGAAATTACTTTCGGAATGACCTATTATATAGAAGAAGTATAGAATATATTGCATCAATCTATGAAAGTTATACATGCTATGGATTTGTAGTCTGTGAGTTTAGGATGAGACATCGGACAATTTGCCGGACAGCGTGGCGACTGAAATCGCGTTAAGTATGCTGGAGCCTATGAATAACGTTGCTGTTTGAATCTACAGTCGAGTATAGGTACCGTTGTAATGCGTGCAATCACACATCTTTCAAATGATGGCGAAGGGACGCAGGGCTCTCATGTTAGTAATGCACAAGTAAACTTTGAATTTGGAAACAATAGTGTCTAGCTGAAGGAATAGGCAAAAGGCTTCACAGAATTAAAAACTGTTAAACATCTAGGTATCGTAATGTTATCGAATGTTCTTCAAACACAGTACGCCTAAACGACGAGAGAAAACGCAATAAAAACAAGAACAACAAAAAACAAGAAAACAAGAGACAAACAACGGCAAAATAACAATCCCCATAGCCAACCTTATCCTGTTAAACATTTTATTCGCATGTTAGCAAAGAAACCCTCGATTGTACCTGATTGTAGTTACAAATTGTTTTCTATGAACTCGCGAAATGCTCTGAATGAATGGCAAAGAAAAGAAGCGCAGCGTTCGTCTCGCACTTCCTGTTCGACTTTTTGCGGCGGCAAGCGTCGAGAGGCGCGTGAGGCGATGCTCTCCGGTCGACGCGAGTCCGCGGGGTCGATGCCCCGAGGGGGCGAGACGCCGGGGGGGGGGGGGGGCACCCGCGAGAGTGGAAGCTAGGCGGCGGTCGCGGCGCGGCTCAGATCTCTCGCAGCCGCCGTCGCTGCTGCGGCTCTTCAGCTGCGGCTCTTAGCCGCCACTACGCGACGCACTCATCGATCTCGACTCGCTCCAGCTCAACAAGCGATCGATAACGAGTTCGATCAGCTTCACCTCATCGTGCGCGCTTCACCCCCGTCACCTCAGGACTACTATCTAGACTTGTTGGTCCGGGCGCTTTTTGAGCTACTTTGCCCGCCGTTACTGTGAGCTCACCCAATTACCGTATTTGCTGAATTGAGGCTTCAATCCACACTATTGCCACTGCTAGCTGCTCATATATTCGCTAAACTGACTGGATCGCAGTCTTGATGTTTTTTGTGATGTTAATGAAACAGAGAATTCTTGACTTATCACTTTTGGCTTCTCATCAAATCCCATTTCCTTTTCCCTGCTACAGTTAATAAAACCGCATATTTCCTCAAAATTTTTCATTGAATTGCTCTTAAACAAAATCTACGATCACTGCTAGATTCACATTAATCAGGAATCACTAAAAATAAACACAAATATGTCGTTAGTCTCATGAAAACCTTTTCTACGACTTTTGACGCTAAGCTAGGCACAAAACTTGCACTTTCATGACATCCGTTGATCTTTTCATGCTTGTAGTTCTCATATTCAGCCTTGCACTTATCGAATTGTATTCGTTGTGAACAGCTCGCGTACCTTTGTCTCTTGGGTACATATTCTGCACTGGGTAATTTGATCACTAAGAATGTATTACAAGTACTCACCCTTTGGCAAATTTGTTAATTAGCATTTTCTCCGCAGCTTATGAGAGGCGCAAACATTTGCGTAGAAATGAAAAGGGCCAGATATGAGGTGTTTTATGGAGTGCTGAGCTTTTTTCGATTTGTAGCACATCTGAATGATCTTTAGAAAATCATTTCCACTACATAGTCAAACTTAACCTTGATTCATAATATCAAGTACCTGTAAAACTGAGATGTGAGTCTCCATATGACCAAAATCAAAATGATGTCAATGAAAAGTATGATTTTTATACATTTCTACACGCAGATTGTCATGGGTTCAAATTTTCACAGATTTATTTGAAATTTTTCTTGAATATTGGCATGGGTTCTAGATTTTCATAGATTTGTTTGGAATTTTTCTTGAACTTTGCTTTCAAATGTTTCATTGTGTTTCAAAATCAATGTTCTTCGAACATTAGGATGCTACCGATAGTCTTTCGTATCAGTCGATAACCGACAGAATCTTGATAACGGGAATGAAGTAAAATCACTGAAGAAAAATTTGTATTTATGTTTAATTGAAGTTAAACTTCCAAAAAACAAAACCTTAATCCTTCCTGTTTGCTGTTATCTGAAAGTTAAATAAATACGGTGATTGATTTGACAACTCTCAAAGATTACGAATTGTCGAAAAGATTTGGTTAAAAAATGCTTTATTCAGAAATATTATCGTGTGTACTAGTAGAATCTATATCAGATTTTTATATATAAATTTTATATCAGATTTTTTCAAACTCTCAGAGTTCTGGTAGTACATTTGCACTATATGAATGATTCGGATAACAAAGCAGCCTTTTATAGCTAGCAAATATGTTCTCTCTGAATGAGTTTAGCAGTTCAAAAAAAAAATCCATTTGTTCTAGGATAACTGTCATATTTCTCGTAAATAGTCTGAGATAAGCTGAAGAGATAATGATTTTTTTTGCATTTTCTACTATTTCAAAGATCATGATTGGTACTGGTAGTTTATACTCGTCGTTGTTGTTGCCCTTGGGTTTTTAAACTTCTGCAAATAATTCCTTGTTTCAGTGCGCCGTCGTGCGGCCTCATGGCCGGCTACACCCATCGCAGTAGAAGGGTTTGTTTTTGCTCCATTTTATCCATTTATTTATTCACTCGCAAAACTGCATTCTTGGCTCGCGTAAGTGAAGGTAGTGCAAGAATATGGGATAAAGACAGCTAATGCAGTCAAAAGTGGAAGAAACCGATTCTATAAAGATCTACAAGAATAAATTTCTAACAACCTTATGCATAGAAGTGGCCCCACGAATAAGCTAACAACAAAAATATTCGGTTCGATGTTGTTACTCAAGGATATCACTTCATTTGATATTGTTTTCTTTGCCTGTCATTAGTTAGTTACCTGACATGGGTCCCCCCATGTAATAAATGAAATGAAATGAAATGAAAAAAAGTTAACATAACAACAACGAATTGCAATATTATTTTATTTTATTTTATTTTACAATACACTCGATAGGTGTGGCAGAAATAAGAAGAACGAAAAGTGGAATAAACAGAAAACATAACACAGAGAACGAACATAATTGCCTAACGGGATAAAGTGTGAGGTAAACAAGGCCCCGGATCAACGGCTACAGCACTCCACGTAAAGAATAAGAAAGCAGAAGGCAAGCTGGTCAAAACTAGACTTCAGCATCTTGCTGTCTCAATGATACCTGACAACCCTGAAATTCGGTGTCAACGAGCCTACGGGCGGAGGCTAGCTGACTTGGCCCCGACAAAGAATAGTCTGGTAGAAGGCAGGTGGCTGAAGTACTAGGCATGAAGATGCCTGAACAGAAGCAATAGATATTAATGACTTTTGAAACGATCTGAGGCAAGGCTGGGGGCGGTGAAGTGGAGATAAAGTTTTTTTTATTTTTGTGATTATTAGTGTGATTTTACGATTTTTTCCTCTTAAGCAAGTAGCTATTACCAATTTTTCTGCTTTTTCGCCAACTAGCGGGTGTTCTATGATAGCCGTTGTTGAGCAGCTGATACAAGGCGCCTGTTCCATTGAACTTTGTTATGATTGACAATTGCGGTTCGTCATCGATCATTTTAATTTCAAAGTGATGCGTTTACAGGGAAGCGGCGACTCGAACTACAGTCATCGAGAAGACGATCTCGAATTAGAGGCCGGGAACAGGGAATCGCTTCGGCGCGATGCTGAGCGACAAGCCGCGCTTCAGCTGGAACGAGCCAAGGTGAGCTTGATTTTTTCCTCATTAGTTTATCTCAAACATTTTATCTGCGATTTTTGAATTTCCCTCTTTTATCATCGCTTTGTTTCCCCTTTTTTACCATACATATTATGCTCTCGTCCTATTTGCTAGTTATGACATCTTCTGAGACATTCAAAGCTTTTCTTTAACCATTCAATTTCGGGAATTACTAAGAGCTCCGTTCTTGGGACTGCATGGTACATTTAAATTATTTCTATCTTTGAAAATAGACAAACATAACGTAGGTTTGGAGAGGCAAGGTTCAAGTAGCGTATCTCTGAAGGGAAGTCAGAATTTTCGAGAAGGGACATTTAGCAATTTTTGCACTTTATACTGGCCATTCAAATACTAATACGTCATTTATGAATTTTCCCCATTTTTCTTTTTAGCTGCAACCGAATTTTTACAATTTTTTGCCGTCATTCGACATTAGAAATTCACTCGTTTCCCTTCACGAAATCATTTCCTTCCAAACTTCTTTACTGAATTGACTTCCATTATTTTTTTCTACAATTTCCTACAGTTGAGCCCAAGGATGTTTTTTTCATCAATCAGTCTTTGACGAGAGATCTACTGTAATACAACCGCCACTTTTCGACGTGATTCAAACAAATCCTACTCCACAGTTTGAAAACTTGTATTTATTGCAGTTCTCTACTAGTCGGAATGTTATCCTTCATCGAAGTAACAACCAGCTCTATCAGTATGAAAACCATCTTGTGCATCTTAAGTCGTTCGTTTTGCTCGAGAAGTAATTTTCACCTTCGTCATTGACAATCAAAAATTTTGTACAACTTTGGGATTTCTGATTATTATTCTTCGTATGCCATTGCTTTCTAGACTGGGCTGCAATAGTGGACAAAGCTCATGGAGTAGTTTGCTAGAAACCACCCCATTGGCAAAAGTCCAGAAAAACATTCGAATCAAAAAACGCTGTACGCCGTTGGACCTCGGACAAAGTTCACACGATTCAATCGTCGCGATTCATGGCTGCAAGTGTTACGAGTTCATTGCATACCAATCTTCTTGTATTTCGGTTGTGATAGTCAGTCACGAATAGTCGTGTTGGAAAATTATCACAACCGAGATGGATCGGCATGCAATGATATTGTTACAGTTGTCTTGTCGCGATCAATCACGACGATGAAATCGCGTGAACTCTGTCGAGGCCTTGGCGGTGCATATCATTATTATTGGGTTAACACAATACCTTTGTGAATCAAATTACCTGTTCCTAGTGACTCTCCAAATCTAGACTAGACTATTTCTTAGGCCCGTATGCACGTACATCCCCGCGGGGAGGGGAGGGGATCTGAGAGGGGAAGCGCCATATCTCACTGCTCTATATATCTTTTTTCTTTCTTCTCTATCGTGCTTATGAGGGTTCTCATACCTTTATACCTGCGCATAATAGATGCCAGGTTTATGCTATACAAGATTAAATATTCACTATTTCTTCCGATCCCCTGGGGATCCCCAGGGGATCAAACGAAATAGTGAATATCTAATCTTGTATGGCAGTAACCTGGCATCCGCTATGCGCAAGTATCAGTGTATGAGAACCTTCAAAACCAAGACAGAGAAAGAAGAAGAAAGATACATAGACTAGCGAGTTATGACGCTTCCCCTCTCAGATCCCCTCCCCTCCCCGCGGGGATGTACGTGCATACGGGCCTTAGAGAATGAATTGTCATTCTTGTTTAAAAGGAAAACTTCGTAAAGCTGCACACAGCTTGATTTTCCAACTTTAGCAGCTTGCAACAAAAATCTTACATCGCAAGATTTTCATCAAATTGACTCACCATAACCTCATCAAAAAGCTGCCGTTGAGTTTCACTCTGAAATAAGTCCAAAAATTACTCTAGCCTATGTTGGGCAGGAAGTTAGATCTTAGTCGTGGGGTCCGGATGCCAGAATGCGTCTCAAAGGAAACAAAAGTAAGGAAACAAAAAAAACCGTATATAACAGCAATTTGTCTTGACCTGCGAAAATCAAAAAAGTTGTGCAACTGCACTATACAAGAACTGACATCCCTCGTAATGATTCAACCACACTATTCCCGTTGCCCCTGCAATTGTCGCCATTTGTGATCCCTACGAAAATCAAAAATCCTTTGACTGTCGTTATCCATGGGAGCGTTTTTTCACTTCTTCCAAATAATAATACCTCTGATGACCACACTGAAGTCCATTTTGCGTTTCTTGTTTTCATTCAGCGCCAACAGGCTTTGATTCTGCTGAAGCAGAACAGAATGAGAAAAAATAACGAGTAAGTCAATGGAAATGCATTTTAAGAGCAGAAGTTTCTGAGCTCCATGGATAACAATCAGAGGAATCGGCAAAATCACTAGGAACATACAGGAGAATGCCAGAATCTTTTTTTTTCTGCTTGCATTGTCAAGAAAGTAGCCGCGCAAGGTGGTTGCTTTTTGCTCGCAATCTTCCCGCGTCAATCGCCGAGCCTTTGCCATCTCCGTCTAGCGCCCTAAATCATGGAGGTTGCGAATGCATTGCCTCGACCCTCCGAACGTGTGCTTCATTTCTTTGCCTGAGTGCTGATGTGTTCGATAATTTGCTCTGCTCACGCACAAACGCGAATGCATGCTGCGATTCGGCATTGCTTTCTTAGCGGGGATTGCCAAGGATTCGCTAGAAGCAGTTTTTAGGGGTCACATAAAAACGAACATAAAAACGCGAAGAGACACCGGCACGCTTCGATGCCTTATGCTAGAAAAGTCTCACAAAAAATTCTCTTGGAATGGGGAAGGAGGGGAAGGTTGACAGAAGTTTTTTTTTTGAAGAAGAAGGAGAAGAAGGAGAGCCACCGCTTAAGTCAACTTTGAAGCTTGCAATCCTAAAATCTCAAAGAATTTAGGTATCCTATAATTCGTGTGCACCTCTATATAAATTTCCCAATCCCTTCTTATGAAGGCGGGAGGGGAGGAGGATGAAGGCTGCTGAATACTAGATTTTGAAGCAGAAACTGATTACAATGAAATTGATGCTGATCATCATTCTAATTTCCTCCAGTCACTGCATTTATGTTATTAGGTGGGCTAATGAAAAATTTCGTTCGCTCTTGGGGGCCACACATGCTGCTGAAAAAATGTATCTTGAAGGAACACTTCTATGGGAATTGGAATACAGATTGTGTTCTAATACATTCTATTAGGTTATCCCAAAAGTTTTTCCATATCAGAATTTTCACCAGCATAAGTCTGCTCTTCTTAGACTTCTGATGAGAAGCGGAGTACCATTCGAAAGAGTAAAGCAAGCTCTACAATATGACTCTCAAAAGTTCGTACCAGGCTTGATCCGCATCGAGATTCAAGACAAAATGGAAAAAAATCCAAAATTCCGAAAAAACAAAAAAAAATCGCATCTTAGTTCAAAAACATTCTGCATAGTTCCCACTTGCTCACGCATATATTTTCCCCATCAGACATTTATATATACACTTGCGGGCTTTGCTCCGGATGTTATTATCCTGATTATATTGGAACCAATGTTAATGAAGCAAATATAGGGAATAGAATCTTTAGCTTATCGAAGCCGAGAATTTGCGTTTTCATAGCCTTTTTTACCTTGGAAAAAGGTTTTTGTGGGATTTTCGCCAGAATTCAGAACGAAATTTCTTAGTTAACCTCTCATTTGAACAAAATCGAGTTTTGGAAGAGGAAAGCTATTGGAGTTAAATAAGAACGAGAAACTACGCTTAAATTTTGCGCAGAGGGTCGCGCACGAAAACCCTGGTCTTTCTCGTCAATGAGTGATTTTCAAAGCTTGGGACGTTGTCATTTCTCCTCGTCGTCTCATGGCGATCAAAATGATATATAATATTGCGGGGTTTCGTTGAGACCCCGCGGAGATCTACGACCAGAGCCAAATGCCCCGTCGGCTCTGGTCTGTCTCCGCTGCTCGTCTGCGTCTCCGCGCGCTGCGCGCTACCTCGCTACCCCAAACGCGGGGCGCGGGGCATTTGGCTCTGGTACCCTTTTCTTCGCTGTTTCAAACCCAATTTTAGCAAGCTGTATATCATTTTGAAGCTCTTGATCTCTATTTTCACGCTGACAACGTCCCAAAACCATATTTTTTAATTCGCTCGAGAAATCCGACAAAAACCTTGTTTTCGAAAATCTCTTGTTTTTCTTCTAGTCTAACTCTTTTCATGCGGTTTTTTCATGCAATCTGTAGATCTTGCTTCTGTTCATAATGCAGACGACCACCCAGCCCTTATCTCTTGGATTATGGTGGAATTTTTTGCGAAAACCCGTGAAAAGTGCGTTTTTCTTTAACTTGTTCAGTTTCAGTGCTTTCGCATCGATTTTTTTCCAGCTTGGGCGAATGTTGCTCAGAACAATAAGCGCAACAATCCAGACAACGTCCCAGGAAACAGTAACGTCAATGCGGGGGTAAAAATTCAAAGGACGCATCAAAAATCAAAACCCCGTGTTGCGAATTGCTGGTCCGGAAGCGAAAACTTGCACTTTGAAAAGCAGCCAAATGAAAGATTTCAAGCCTCATTGGAGCGTTTTTATCCGGTTTTCAGGAGTTTCTTTTGTTTTTTATACCCGTTTTATGTCACTTTCTCTTCTCTGATCATCTTTAAACAACCTTCACTATTTATGACTTCAGATGTTTAAACAACCTTCACTTTTGACGCCCTGTCTCTAGACTATCGAAGATGGTCACTATAGAGCTTATTCACTCAAAAATACTCCCACAAATTTGCACCCTTCTAGAAGCCTTAGTTTTAGAGAAATATCATTTAAGTATGAATATGAAAAAACTTTTGGGATGACCTAATATCCGAAAGTTCTGTCCCACCATTTCCACCATTTTCAAAAAATCATAACTTCCTCCTAACATGATATTTTTGCATGGCTAAAATCCTATTGAAAAAAGAAGTTCATGCACTTTCTAAAACTCCCTTGACTGCTATCTACTAAGCTCTGAATGCAAAGATAAAATTGTTAAAAGGAA